TGTCTGTAAAACAGAGTCGAAAAGAATATGGAATTCTACAGCAAGACCTTGTATCTTCATACCAGCTATGGCCCCTCTGCCATAACCTCTTGGTCAAAACCTTCAGCACCAAGGGCTCTGCATCATAGCACAGACATCTGAATTAGTCAGGGGCTAATATTTTCCTCCTCCCACTCGTGACATGAGCATTCTCACCTGTGGAGGGTTAGAACTACAACAGAGCCAGATGAACAGCTGATTTACTGTGTCCTGCCAATGATGTACCTCATCCACACAGAGAAAATCCCCTTTGCACGAAGTGATCAACAGAAATTCTGAAACCTCAAGCTCTTCCTTAATTATGCTTTTCAATATTAAGCAAAATTTCAGTCATTTTTTAAAATTGTCTTTCTTTGTATTTGTGTGACCATTATTCCCAGTGATTTCTAAGTGGCAATGTACCTCCAGGAGAGGAACACTCCATGATATATTAGTTCTCCGGAACACTTCTTTTTTATCCTTGTTTAACTCTTTTGCCTGTTTTAGTACAGACAGCAGTCTTTAACAGATGATAAACCACAAAGAAACATAATTTCAGATTTTAAATATCTGAAAGTCTGTAGAAGTCCCTGGGGAAAAAAAAAACCAACAAACCTCTGCTTCAGTTTAAATTGCGTACACAAAGATAAAAGGCAGATTCCTTTGGGAATTAGAAACCTCCACAATACAAATGCAACTAATACAATCCCAAAATAAGAGGCTGTCTTAACATATATCAATAAATAAAACACAATCTGTACCACAAACTTGGGTAAGAGGACTGGAGGACCAAGACTCAGAGGAGACTAACATGAGCTACCAGAAAAGACTTCATTTTTTTTGTTTCTTTTGGATTGGTTTTGAACAGGCCTTCCACTAAGCACTTCCTGATATGAAACCTTGATCCAGAAGACTTCCAAGCACAAACCTCATCCAGAATTCAGCAGAAATTTGGTAGATGCAGAACTCATGGGATTACGTCTTGTATGCCCTATACAGTGGCAAGTGCTCATGTAAGCACACGAACAGCATGTCCTTTCTAACAGAAATTTAGAGATTTGTAGGGAGAGTTGCAGGGCTATGTTATAAAGGCACACTCTAAGTCACTGGATAATCTAAAAAGAAAACATTCTTTCCCCTAAATTGAAGCTTTGGCCTGGGGTTCTAACCTTCATTCCAGTTTGTGACATGTAAAAACTACAGATAAACAGACCACCTCTTTCTCCTCTCATCATCATAACACCCCGGATCACAACATTTTTAGATATTTTTCAGGCTGTTAATTCAATGCCCACTGGCAATTCTGTTCTTTCCTCTACAATCAAATTTTTAATGTTATCCCATCTGAAATTCAAGTCTGGTAAATATAATAAATTTGATTATAACTTAGATTCCCTAGTTATTAAATTAGCTTATTTTCAGAAACCATGCTGAATCTAAAGGAGAAAAAGCAGCAAATTATACCTGACAGCTTTAACGCATTTATAACTATATGAATAAAAGATGTGATTCATCACAGATAATAAGTCTTGCAAAAACTTTGGGTGAGCTGAGAAAATAATGCTAATAGCTTTGCAAAACTACTTATAATTTAAAATAATTTGAGTGGTGAGGAAAATGTGGCAGATTCTAAGGACTACAAAGTGGTCAAAATTCCATTAAATTTTCTCTTGCAGAATTTCTCTTTTTGTGTAAAACCACAGCAGTAATTTTTACTTTCATAACTGCTGATGTAAGATCAGGTATGGAGAAACAAGACAAGACATCTTTTGTGAGTAAACATTTTAGCATTCTCTGATTTGCTAGAGGACAGTATAAACCCTCACTTTGTATCCACAAGCCTAACACACAGTATTATTTATTACCTCTATGACAATAGAGTTGTGTTTTGTATAGTATCAATACTGTAACTCCAGATGCACAGGAGAGACAGGACAGATTAATGCCTAAACCCATTCCTGTAGAACATTCACTATTTGTTCTGGCTAAGCTGTTTCTAAGGGTAGGGGATGAAGATGATGAATAAGGCAGATTAAGTTTTAGGCCATCAAGTGTAAGTAGAAGTACAAAAGATAAGTTCTGGACAGAAGTCTGGACTAGTTTTGCTAGTTTCTTCAAGCATCTTAAAATCTTAGAGATTGTCTCAGTCTTAGGGAATATAAGGGATCTTAAACTGGTATCATTATATACAAAGGAATTAGAATTAGGTGCCCTAAACAAGGCATAAAGTTAATGGTAGTGGTTCCCAGTTTAGACATTTTTTCTTCCATCTTATTGTTCTTATTGGACCATAGTCTGTCCTATTTCTTCAGAATGTAAGTTACAACAAATTAGAATCAGCAGAGTTATAGCTAGGAAAATTTAAAAACTACATGTAAAGTGGATGTAAAAAAGTGATGAGTACTAACATCAGACAGATATCCTTGGATTTAAAATCAAATGTGGACACCAAAAGTTTGGTAACGCAGAAATTTTTATTTTATTTTTTGAAATTTGCAAAATTTGGACCAAAACCTGTCCAAATAAAGTAATATTTGCAGAAAATATGTTACAAATAGCACCTGCATCTGGGGATTATTTCCAGTTCTGTCACTGCCTTGATTTAAGATTTTAGACAAGTCATTCCAGCCTAATGTGTTCCATGGTACAAAAACAATAAGGTAATCAACCTCTAGTGACCCTCCACAGATGCTGTAATACCTAGGTCTTGATAAGGTACCCTGACCTTTCAGAGCAGCAGGGTCCCCTGCTGCTCTCCCTGCAGGGATTCTGGTACCTTCCCAACTACCAGTGCCAGCTGGGTTTCTAGCAATCAGCAAGTAAACCTGCTGAATTTACCAGTATTACATATAATAAAACAGAGATTATATAAAAAGAGATTGAGGAGGAGAGTACACTAAAAGGAGAAGAAAAAAAAATTCCATGGGTGTTAAGTAATTTAGATCCTACTTAATCTGCAACACAAACGGCTGCCTACTATTTATTCAATATAATAATGCAGTACTTATTCCTCAAACTTGCCTTCCACTTCATCCATCCAGGTCTGACAAGAGCAGTGGGCTCTTTGGATGCTGAGATGTCACCAGCACTGACAGACCACTGTTATGGGTAGATTTGGGGTAAGGTCACATCACGGATAGTTCCTGGTTTCCAGCAGGTTACCCACAGACTCTCCTGGTCCTCAGTGCTTCACTGTGTCAGCTTCCTGGAGCTTCTCAGGGCTTATGGAGTGGGAGGCTCCTACTGACCTAAGGTCCTAAGAAAATGGCAGTTTCTCTTGCTGCTGCTGTGAAGAACAATAAATAGCTTGCTGTCATCAGTCACTGCCTCCCTTCTCACAGAACCCCACCCACCTCAACTCAGGGGCAATCTAGCATGGGATGCTGAGCACTCCTAAATGCCTTCCACTACTACAGGCAAGTAGGCAGGCATCCTCTGGAATACTGGCTAATCTACCTTTGAGCACTCTCCAAACTCTTTCTGCAGCAAATGATAGCAGTAATGTTTGAACTGACAGAGGATACATATATTTTTCAAGCAAGTCAAGACACAAAAAAGGCATAAACTCCAGTGCTCACAAATGCAGATGTTCATAAGCCTAGTAACAAGTTAGTACACAGGGAGGGAATGAGGGTATCACAATATTTCCCATGCAACATTCTTCCTTCAGTTACACCTTGAAGTAACACATCCCTGCTTTCATCTGTCATCAGGATGGCACCCCATAATCAAACTCTGTCTGACTATCTCATTTGCTGCCAACTCTGACAGCATATATGCCTAGCAAGTTTGATATCCAGATCTGCAAGCGTTTCTTTCCAAACATCTCTGCAGCAACTAGACACAGTAAAAACAAAGCAGTTTATAGTGTAGACATTTACAGCTGCACAAAAATTATCCCGTTCCCCTTACAGTCAGAGAGACTGATATGAGTATTTCTTTGCTTGAGATTCAATTGAGCCACTTCAACAATTATCTTGGGGCGAGACAACTCATGCCAAAGATGAATACTTACCCCATTAACAAGAGCATAAGGTGATAAATTCAGATACAGATACCTATATGTAGACATTTCTTTCTAGTGGGATGAACCTTTTCCATGTCTTACACACCTCTGTCCTTTTACACAAACCTCCTTGTGCATGCTTTAGTCCCACCAGCCTCTTCTGTTCCTCAGAAATTAGGTTATGGCTGATTTGCTGTGGATCCTCTGGACTACTTCAACACAATCTCTCCATTACAGACCAGCCACAGAGAGTCTACACCTAAGCAGCAGGAACATGAGATCCATAAGCAATATAAATGCCATGTGAGCAGGACATTCCCTAAGCCTTGTGAACATGAGACAGTCTCTGTATCTCAACTTTTTGCTCTTGGTATAGCTTATGCCTTCTTGGACACATGCAATTCAGATATTCCAGAATACCAACTCCCTCAAGCCCTTTCCCTTCTCTAGAAAAAGGCTATGTAATGGCTTGGAAATCCTCTCTGATTGTACTCAGCAAAACAGCTCCTGCCCAATTACTGCCAAATGGGGACTGTCAACTTTATCCAAAGCTTTGACAGGGATTTTTATTAGTGCCATTATTACTGTGCCTTTGTCAGTGCATCTCTCACCAGCAACTATATCAAGACTGCCCACAATATTCACACAAATAGTAAAGCTGGTTTTCAGTTCTGCAAGTGCCAAATGAAGACACCTATGGAAAAAGATTCTGCTGACTACAATGAACTTCATATAAGGACTTCCAACTTTTTTATGAAAGGATCACAGAATCTTCTATAGTGAAGCTGTGTGTCTATCATACACTCATTCTGTTATGTTAGATAATACTAACCAACTAAACACATTCATGGAAAATAATCATGCCTTCCCCCTGCTTATATAAAAATGGGTGCTTATACAAAAATAGGTGCAATCACAGCTCATAAATAGTATTGTGAACAAAAGAAGAAAACACCATTTGAAATAATGGAATACATTACAGAAAACAGCAATTTAGAGTTTTATTATTCCTTTCTTTTTAACAGAAATAATTATATATACTTCACCATTTTCAGTAGCATTAAGGATGTGATAATTAAAGTAACTTTCATTAATAAATCACAATAGCAGTGCAACATGTTATTAATAGTTGTCTTAGACTGTGGTCTGCGAAAAGAAACAAGAAATAAATATATGGTGCTGCTTCTACTTCAACATTTTCAGAAAACACATATTTTAAAAATATTTTACAGGTTACAATACTGATAATTTTATAATTGTTTCTTTGGTAATACTGTGAAGTAATGCCTTGCCATCTTTATAGTATTTTTTTAACTACATAATAATAGTTATTTTAAATTATATCAGTCTCAGTAACATTGCATTTAAAAACATAAAGTCAGAGTCCCTAATAAATCCTTCTGGTTTTTCAGGTAACATGGACAAAATTAACTTTGCTAATCTTGACATGTTTTATTGTACCCTTATATATAGTTTCTATCCCACTCTCTTTTTAAGTACAGAATCTATACAGCTGAAAGTCTTAAGCAATCTTAACTATAGTTATTGCTGCCAACTCTTCCTATAAAACTCAGGGTAAAATACTGGTATAATTAAAATTGATTGCAATGCTCACACTGATTTCAGAGAATGAAAGAAAAGAGAAGAAACACTCCCTGAAATAGAACAAGGTCCCAGCAACACAATTCTATATTTACAGAGGAAGCACTGGTAATAAGATTTCGGGAAATCCTATGATTCATATATTATAGGCAAAATACATATATAAATGTGCATATATTTGTATGTATATAAAAATACAGGTTAAAGGTCAAAATGAGAGGATTTCACTTAAATATAGTTCTCTCTTTTTAATCAGTGCTAACAGCACTGCAGAAGAATGTTTGCAAGGGAAGAAAAAGGAAGGATAACTTACTCAGCTGAAAACATGAGGAAAATATAACCACTAAAACACATAATGTAATTCCATTACTTAAAACGTTTTCAGGGGACCTCTATTATTGTTGCAAAAATGCCATGGGATCTTATCATTAAAAGATAAAACAGCAGTTGAACTACAGTTCTCATCTAATAGAAAGAAAGTCTCCAATCTTCAAAGATTTATGTATACAGTTAATTTTATGCAGTCAAAGTAGTCTTGCTTCAGACCCCAGAATCTTTCAAAATGCTTAAAATTAGGTAAAATATATGAAACTTGTCAAAGAACTGAGACCTATAGCCTTACTTGGAAAGCAATAGCAAATAAACTTTTCAAATTTAAAAAAATGGATATTCTTTCACAAAAGAGTTACAGTTTTATCTGCCTTTTGTATTCACATTAGCATTTAAACAGTCTGTGTACCATTTCTTTAATAAATCAAATATTTATCACAAAAAGGTCACTGTCAACTTAGAAACTGCATTTTAAAATCTTTCCAATTCCATTACTGTTATCTTCCATTCTCAAATTAGTTTTTTTAAGTAAGAATTTTGTTTTCAACTTTTTTTCTCTGATTTTCAACTTCACTTAAAAAAAGTAATTCTGAATCTTGAAGGAACGTGTTACATACACCAGCATTGTTTTTCAGCTAACTATATACAAAGAGTGTGGGAAGACAGTGTGTTAGAAAGGTCAGTATAAATGAATGCTATGAGAGGTATTTGGGGACAGATAAATCTTAGATAAATTTTAATTATTTTCTTAGATAAATTTTAATTATTTTCCTTTTAAATGGACTCTATCATGATAAGCTTTCAAGTAACTTTAGCAAGTTGAAAATATTTGAAGATAAGCTATATTTATAGTGTAGCTCCTAACTGCAAAGATTGCTGTGAACTCTTATTTATGAACTGAATAGTGTTATCTAGCCAGAAAATGCTCACATTTATTTTCAGATCTACTAGTGGATGAATGTTGACTGTCTAGTAATTAGCTCCATTTCCATCATCTCCAAAGCATACAAAAGAAGTGGACTTTTTGTAAACTAATAGCTTAAAAGATTCTTCATTGGAGTAAGGTAATTCAGATTCCTTGAACGTAATCTCTCCTCTATTTGTTATTTGTTTTGTTTTCTTTTTTTCTTGTGGAGGAAGGATGGATAGAAATTATGAAAATGGCCAAGGTTGAAAAGGGCTCTGAGCAACCTGACCTAGCTGAAGACGTTTCTGCTCATTGGAGGAAGGTGGACTAGATGACCTTGAAAGGTTCTAACTATTCTGTGAATAACAGTCATACAAGGCAGCTTTGGAAATCCCTGAAGTCAACTTCTAGCCTTCACCATGAAGACATTGGTAAAGGACTTTTGAGCCTCTGGATAGAGACCAAGGTATCATCTGGCCAAGTTTAATGACTGTCCAGTTCTGTCAATCACCCTGTACTTCTCTAAGTGTGCTAAGAACATTTTGTTATCACCTTTTGGAAAACTTGTCTTCCCTGTGCTTACATCCTTACCTGCTTCAGAGTGTTTGCCTTGTACTCATAGGCAAACAGACTGTTCTCATGTTTGCTAAAGTAAAACAGAAGTGATATTCTTAAGAGACCATATAAGTTTGAATAGGCTAAAGAAGGTCTGGCTTTGTGAGACCTTCCATTTCAATCTTCTGTCTGACATTGGGCAAAATATAATCTTACAATCCAGTTCTTGACTTATAAAGCCAAGCAGTGATATTTGTTGTCTTTTGATTAGCTTGTCTGTTTAGCTCTGCCAGGAAAGTATCAAAATACTGTTAGCACACTGTACAGCCTACTAAAATCTCACATTTGGATGGAGCTTACTGTCATATGTGCTTATGTTAAATAAGTCAGACCAACCCCCACGCTATTTCTCCTGGAATGGGGACATGTATACAAAAGATGGCTTGTCAGCTTTCCCCGTCAACTTAGAAACAGCTGATCACTGCCTTCTCCAATCCAGTTTATGCAGCATTTTAAGTCTGGGAAGACAGACAAGCATGATGGGTGGCCTTCAGCCTAACCGACTGAATCCAGCTCTCAACTCTCACTCTGTAAGAAAGGGTTTAGACAGAATGTAACAGGAGTTAATTTAAGCTGTTCCAAGAGTAAATGAATACTGGCACTAAGCCTAATGCTCTTGAGGGGATTGGAGTTCTAGTAGAGAGTGAATCCCTCTTGGAACTTGGCCTAACACTCTTAAAAGACACTGAGACGTGGAAGTGGACCTTCAGACCTTCAGGCATTAGGAGATATATGTTTACCTTTTTTTTTTACTTTGTAATGAAACTTAAAAGAAATAAGTTTCTGCCAAACATGATTTCCTAAGAATGACAGGACTCACAAGAGTTTCATTTCATGGTGGTATGTTTTTTGTCTTTTGATGTGACTTTACATTATATTCATTATGCCTAATGAAAGACTAAGAAAAGACTACATTTAAGCATTGTTACATAATTATTCAGTGGGACCTTGAATCTTAAAGAAAAGTTACATTTTAAACATTTCAGAACATTTTATTAGTATTTTCATTTGCTTTTTCAAATTTTCAGCAATGCAGACATCTCTAGTACAAAGTGTGATGTCACCACATAGAAACCATTTTTTAAAAAAGCAGGTATGACATCTTGCTAAATGTAATGATTTCTGCTTACAAGAGCATGGAAGAGCAAACTGAGCAGGACAGCAAAGGGAGGTGACATTTTAGTGGTGTAGCATACAGTAGCTGATGACATTTGTCACCACATAATTCATTTTGTCTGGTGAAAGTTTTATTGTATTTACCAGACTGTCAGCATCATTTCTACAGACCACGGAGATCTTTGCTTTCTGACATAAACCACCCTGCAGTGATACTGCATGGGGTGCAACAGGGCTGTGTCTGACTCACCAGGAGTTTTCTGGCTGTTTAAGGCGTGTGTTCTAGCACTCACAATGTACCAGCACAGTGACAGCAGCACAGCTGGGAGCAGCAGCAGCAGCTTCTTATTCCATGAGGTGAATTTACTGCAGGAGAGAAGGGGTGCCTGAGGACACTTAACTCGCCCAGCATTGCGTGCTCCCAGCCATATGAGGATAGCTCTCCATTCACACTGCAGCTGCATCTGTTCCAGGCAGGAATGTCATCTGAGGAAAGACAAATGACCTACTTATTTGTTTTTACGTAAAGCAAAACTGAAAATGCCTGTCAGAACAATGAATTAAACATCCTTGCCTTTGCTGTGGTCATGTATCCAACATCAAGGGATCTGGCATTCAGAAATCAAATCTCTCAGCCATCCTTTACAAGATGTTGCCAGCACTCATGAAGTGCTTGCTATTGGCTTACATAGAAAGTAAAGTCCTGTTAAGGTGTTTGCAAAAATACTATGTGTCAAACTGTAAGATTGGGACGGAAAATATTTTATCTGTCTAGAGGGAAACAGAGATAGGCAATAGGAATTTCCTGCAAATTTTACAGAATAAGTGGGATTTTCCAGTGTGTTTAACAATTGACAGATTTTACTCCTATGTTTTATATTGGGATTAAAAAGGCTTTTTCCATATGAGTTAGTTTCTAGGTCTCTGGGAAAAGGAAAAAGCTTTTGCAATGCACATTAGCACGTGCAGATGGAAACCATTCATCCTGCATGTTGCACTCCTCAGTGATTTCACAATGAGCAGTCATTTGTGTTCCCCAGAGAAGGTGTTTTTGAAGGGTTTGTATCCTGCTGAGGACTTGAGTCGTGAGATTCTTGAAGATGTCTCAAACACTTCACAGAATGACACTCAGTGAACAACACATGCCAGAAAAAAGCTGGATAAATTCTGAAATGCCATTAGTTAAATGACTGAAATGATGTTCTATGAAACTGAATTCATCACTCTGAATTCAGGTCAGGGAAGGAGAGTGAACTAAAATTACTTTGATGGCAGTGATGGATGATCACCTTTAGTCAGTGGACAGAGGGCAAAAAAGCATTTCCATGTTTCAGAGCCCATACCAGAACATTTATAATGTTGACAACACAGCTTTGGCTGTCATATCAGAAAGAGCTGGAAGATACAGTTTGCTAGAAGAGACTGAGTACCTTCTGAAGGCCCTCAACCAAAGACCAAAGTAATAGAAAATTGCATGCAGCTGTTCTCTCAGCAGTCTTTCTCCACATTCACATGGAGTCTCTAGGTGAACTACTCTGATAATAAGGATACCAGTACTGCCAACATATAGATGACATTTAACTTACTCTCTGCTTTACTTCATATAACTTTATCATTGACTCTCAGATGGCCCAATTTTTGAATGTGATCAATTAACTAATGTTTGAATGTAATCAACCAAGACCTAGAGAGCTTTGTTAAAACGATGGCAGCAAGAAAAAACAAGCACTCTGAAGCATTCATGGTGAGTAGTCGTCCTCTGGCACAAGTGCTACTGCCAACCAAATCATTCTGTAATGCTTCTCAGCTAACACCTCTGCCACGACAATTTCCGTAACTCATCTTCTGTCATCTGTGTTTCACCAGAAACTCTACTCTGCCCTTGAGGAGGATATTCTAAACTTGCACACGCTTTTGTTGTTTCTGATCTGGATCACACACTGAGCAACACATCCATATGGGTCATCAAAGGCTCCTCATGCTCTCAGCAGTGGGAGTCTGCTCTGTGAGAAGAGTCCCAGCAGGGAGCGAGGCGAAGCTGAGCTCTGACAGCTCTCACACACGGGGCTGGCCGGGGCACCCTGGGGCTGCCACTTTTCACTCCCTACTGCACAGCCAGGCCTTCCGTGCCCCCTGCCCTGGCACAGCCCAACACCTGGCCCTGCCCTGGCCACCAGTCCCCGCCTGGAAGGGGGCCCTGCCGCCTGCCCGCACCTGGGGGCCTCCCCGGCCCGGGACGGAGGGAGGGGCGCACTCTGCCTGCATTACAGAAACAGGGCATGGATTAGGTTGGAAAAGACTTCTGGGATGATCAAATCCAACCTGTGGCCCAACACTGCCATGTCAACCAGGCCACAGCACTGAGTGCCACGTCTAGTCTTTCCTTAAACACCACCAACTCCCTGGGCAGCCCATTCCAACATCTAACCACCCCTGCTGGGAAGAAATTCCTCCTAATGCCCAACCTAAACCTCCTCAGGCGCAGCTTGAGACTGTGTCCTCTCGTGCTGTCTGTCGTTTGCTGCCTGGGAGTAGAGCCAACCCCGCCTGGCTACACCCTCCTTTCAGGTTACCTCTCTGCCAGCGCTGCTCTGGTCGGGGGAGGCTGCCTGGCGGCGTGTTACAGCGGGCGGCCGCGCGTCTTCCCGACGGTCCTGGCTCAGGTAAGGCAGCAGCATCCCCGCTCCCGGCGGCGGGCAGGGCAGGACAGGGCTGGACGGGCACGGGGGCGGCTGTGGGCGGCCCGCGGACGGGTCGGGGTCCGCGGTGGTCAGAGCCGGTGGTGGGGCGGGCACGGGCTGCGGAGCCCTCCTGGCGCCGGTGGTGTGGCAGGTAGGAGCGGCCCCGGCCCCGGGCTTCGGCGGCGTGCCACTAACGCTGGGCAGCCTCAGCGGCGGGAGAAGGCAGGGTTTGCCTTAGCACGGAGCCTTTCTCCTCTCCCCCTGACAGCCCTGGTCGTGCTGAACGGTGGGGTGGACCTGTGTGCTTTGCACAGACACACGGCCTGTAGCGAGCTCCGCGCTTTGCTGATTACTTTCAGGAGAAACTTCCACCATGCCCGGTCTGCGTGTCAGGTGCTGTTAGACAGTCATGCACGTTTTTGTCTCTTAAAAAAAAAAAAAAAAAAAAATATATATATATTTCACGGAAATAGTACTTCCGTAATTCACACTTGTTCTGAAATGCATTACACAGAATTATTTCCTCTTACTATGTCCGAAATGTGTGCCCTGGATGCTGAAATGCGGTTTGCCTTGGAGCATTGGGACACTCTCAGAAGGGTGCTCAGGGACAGATTATTATTGTTTATGAAATAGTCTTTGTACACAATTTTCCCGACTTTATCCTTTTCATGGAGGCAGTGAGCTTTTTCCTGTTCTTCCTTCAGATAAGTTACCTTCTATTAGAGTTGCTGTGTTATTTCAAAGCTGGAAGAGCTAAATGCTTTGTAGGCCAGAGGGTTTAAGTGTGATGGAGGAAGAGGTCAGTCTATGCTTGCAGTGCCATTCATCTACTTATATCTAAGAATTTTTGGAAGTATTCAACAGTTTGTATGCTTTGATGTCTTATCTCTTAACAGTGATTAAACAGGCTGAACTACAAGCAGATATATAGCAGCCTTTATTCTTGAGGACAACCTTTATTCCTGAGTCAAGAAAAAATAATTACTTTTTTAATACTTTTTTTAAAATATTGTATTCTTCATTGTGGAAAATAGTTAAGTTACATCTTCATAGAAAACTCAGTTTTCTAAATATATTATCTAGTAGTCCTGATCCTTGGATTAGGACATGTTAAAACTTTGGACAGCACATGTTCAAACTTTAATTTTCTGTATCCATCTCCTAGCAAGGAAAGCATCCATTACTCCGCAGGTATCTTACTGAAAATGTATCTGCTTGTTATTCTTACTTTTAATTATGTGAGGTTTTAAGCAGCATTGCATTTTAAAAGTCCTGTCATTGAGACCAATTTCATATATGCATGGAACTCTTGCTTAAGTAGATGTTTATGTAGGTATATATATAAAGTGTTAGATGTGGGAAGTAATCACTTTTAAAGGGTGTTGAGTGAAGAGGTCTCAGTCTGGTGCTGATGTGTTCTCGTAGAGTGGCTTCCTTGTAATGCATGGACAGTCCAATGAGTACATTTTAATAACTCTCAAGATGCAGTCCAAAAGTCTAGGAATTACTTAATTGATTTGGTTTTGGAGATAGTAAATTGCTGGACTCTTTAAATGTTTATTCAATTTTAACTTTTCAGTTTCCCCATAAAATGATTGTTGGCGAAGCTAATTCTCCATATGTATTGTACTCCGTGTTACTGCAGGTAGTGTACTGAGCTTTTTAAAACTACCTCAGAAATTACCATGCAGATCATAGGTGCTGCAGGTGGATTGTGAAAGCTGTGAGGCGTGCTACAAGTCTTTTAAGCAGTTTAGATGCTACTTGTGACTTCTGATTGATAGAAAACAGCCCAAGTGATACTGTGGTGGAACAAGTAGTCACCTTTATTACATATTTTGAACCCATATTTTTCTCAATTCAGAGATTGTGGAATCATGAGATATGAAAATGCTTTACACATTCTCGTAGTGGATAACCTTATTTTCTGTTATTATTCCTTTTCATCGTAACTAATCTTAACCAGCCTTGCTTGAGCTTGTGCTGACAAACAACATTGAACTGTTTGTTCCTGTTGTAGTATGCTATGTAGTGGGAATGTTGGCAGCATGGTGTGTGAAATATTACAGGTTAAGTATTTGCAAGTATTTGAAATTAAACAGTGTAATTTTCATTATCTTTCTTATAAAGGAATATATAGTGGAAATGTTTATACTTCTGTATCATCAACAAGGCTTACTGGTTGCTCTTGAGAAATGAGTGAGATTATGGTACAGGGCTTCCCAATTTCCCTTGTTAATATAGTCTTGACTATTGAATTGCTGGAAAATAGGCTGTAATTATTTAAAATATTTGACAAAGTGACAATGTATCTCCATGCTGTAAAGAACAAATATAATAAGATTTTGTGTTTTTCAGCAGCATTACATTATGTTTAAAAAGTTTTGTCATTAAAACCGATGTTATGTCTGTGTGTGACTCTGATGTAAGCATAATTTGAGCCACTGAGTAATTTTCATTCTTGTCCTAAGTTACCATTAGTAACTTCTTTGCACAACGACTTCATTGGAAATACTTCCTGTCTGTTTAGGTTAAGTAGTTGAAGTTGATAACTCTATTTAGATTTTCAGTTTTTCTCACTAAAACTCATCTCTGTCAAAGTAATCAGACATTTTTCAGTTTTTACTTGTTCCAGGCAATTTCAGACAAACAGTTTCTAGTGAAGCTGGCAAACAGCATGCCAAAAGTTCTGTAAATTTAGTACATACTCCTTTTTTGTTTCTTTCTTCTAAAGATTTTGAATATTCTAAAATCAAAGACTTGATACCTTGGCACCTGGTTTTTAAATCTATTTTTAA